CCTTTGGAACCAGACCCAGGTTATTGACCATTTGTTCCCTATGAGACCTTGGGCATATTTGTTACCTCTCTGAATGGGTTTCCTCCTCAGTAAAATGCCAATCATCCTAGTCTCCTCCTCCCACAACGGTTGACAGGATAAAATGGGCGGCACAGACCCTGGCCCACAGTGCAGGCTCCCTAAGTATTTGCTGATGTTTTTCCGGGAAGGAGTACCCTTAACAGAGTCACCAGGTCGACTTCTGCTTCCTCTTCCCTTCCCAGTGGCCCCCAGCCCTCCAAGTCCATGGTTGGTTCAGATACCGGATGAGTGCCTGCCGGGGGCTGGGGTCTTTTCTGGAAGGGATCCAGAGTCTCACTATAGACAACCTTCTCCTCTTCTCCTCTGGGATGTTTGCTTATGCTGTTCCCCAGGGCACACTCTCCCTCCCATCCGCATCACCTGATTCCTTCCTAGTTGGATCTCAGTCTAAAGGTCACTCCAGGGAAAATATCCCTGCACCCACCCGGCTCCTGAACCTTTATCTCTTAGCTCTTATCGGAGTCCTGAGTACTGTCTGTCCCTGCCGCTAGATTTGCTCACCGCGTAGGTCTTGCTCACTGCTATGTCCTTGGCACAAAGAAGGTGCTCAATTCATAGTTGTCAGCAAAACCCAGAAGCCTCAGCTCCAGATGGCTTAGTCCGATCCCATGTCCTTTATGCATAAGGGACTCTGAGGCCCAGAGAAGGAAGGCAACCTGCCCACGGTGCACAGCAGCACACCCCACCCAGTACAGTCTCTTCCCAAGGCTCCCACTGAACAGCCCACCTCCTCGGCCCCGGGGTCCCCCAGAGCTTCACCTGACACCTTCCCGGATTCCTAGCGAGTTAGCTCAGGGAAGGAGCCCCAGGCCGAAGCACGTTTAATTTTCATCTAGGAACCGGTTAAGGCTGTGGGCCTGCTCAGCTCTGGGCTGTCAATCAGCCTTCCTCAAGGCTGCATCAATTAGTTTAAAAATATTGAATGCAATTTTGCCTGACACAACATATTGCAGCTACTGCAAAATATAATTTATTTTAGAAGAAGAAATAATTAAACTAATTTGCATGTCAGTCAGCTGAACTGAGATGCCAAGAAGGGGGTTGGGACACATGAAGGACCCAGCCCCGGGAGAGGGCACCTGCTGCTGGGCAACGGGAAAGGGCTGCTTGGACCTGAGTCAGAGAGTAGTTGGTGCTAATCCCCAGGCAGCAGGAGGGCCTGCTGGCCTTGGATCTAGACCAAGTACTGGCCAGACCAGAGGCGGGAGACCCAGGACCCAACCCAGTTCTGTGCTGACTCCCTTGTAGGTCTGGGCGAGGTCCCGGCCCTCTCTGGGCCTCAGTTTTTTCATCTACAAAATGGATTTAACAAGACCTCCTTTACAGATTGTTTTGAGGGTCAAAAGAAAGATTATAGATAAGAAAGTTTGTTATCAATTGGAAAGTCCTGTGCAGGGGTGAAGATTATTTAATTGATGGAGTCTTTGTCTTATCCCAGAAACATTGAAGATGGTAAACTTATGAATTAATTATTAGCAATGATCACAAATGCTGTTAACTGTGATCAGGAGAGGTTTAGAGCTAGTCCACCAGAAGCAAGACAACAGGTTGGACTGGCCCACCTGCCAGTGGTTGGCAACCCTTGCCACATAGTAAATTCCTACAGCCATTGAAAAACCTCAGTGTCAGAGCCTTGGGTATCGGTGTGTTTTAAAGGCTTCCCAGGTGGTTCTAATGTGCAGCCAGGCTGGAGGTGGCTATGATGTCATGGGCACACAGACTCTGGGGGTTCCAGGCCAGCCCCAAATTCAGGGGTCCCCAGGATCAGTTCTGCAGGTGACAACTTAGCAGCAGAGAGGCGTATCCCTTCCCTGCTCACTCAGCTGCCCCACCTCCAGGACCCAGTTCCACCCCCACACCAAAGGGTTCAGGGCTTTCCCAGGGGGTGACCTGTAACATTTTTAAGAAGGAGGTAAGGGGGCACCTGGGTGGCTCAGTTGGTTCGGCATCTGACTCTTGGTTTCAGCTCAGGTCATGATCTCAGGGTCATGAGATCGAGCCCCACGTCAGACTCTGTGCTGGGCAAGGAGCCTGCTTGAGATTCTCTCTCTCCCTCTCCCTTGGCCCCACCCTCCCAGAAAATAAAATAAAATAATAAAAGAGGAGACAGGACAATGACAGAAAGGTGATTATGTGGGGTGAAGGATGTGTTAACTAACCTGATTATGGGAAACATCCCACAATATGTGTGTGTATATATATATATATACACATACACATCACGTTGCACACCTTAAACTTATACCATGTTATTTGTGAGTTCTATCTCAATAAAGCTAGAGATTTAAAAAAAAAAAAAAAAGAGCATCCAGAACAGATCCAACAGATCATAAAGGAATGGCTCAATAGTGGGGGTCTCGCCAGCAGCGGACCCAGCCCCTCTGCAGCATGTCCCCCTCGGAGGGGCTGGCCCTGCTGTAGGGTTGCTCTTCTGCATGGCGCATGGGCCCCTGTGCCCGCCCCCCCCACCTCAGCCGGGAGAGAGGTGCCTGGTCCTGGCAGTGGGCCTCACCCTCCCCACTTGCCTTCCTCCCAAATGCACCCACCTTCTGTCTGTTTAAGTTCTCCAGCAACACGCTCTTAAAAATAACGGCTTGCCCGGCATTCCCAGTCACGACTCCGATCTCCCGCCCCCAGAAAAGCCCCCTCTAATCACTGAAGCGGCAGATCTGGGTGAGCTGAAAAGATAAGGTGCCCCTGGCTAAGGGGAGCTCCAGAGAGAGGTCGGGGTCTGCCTTAATTAAGGACTTGCCCCCCTCCTTTCCCTGACCCCAGGAGGGGGCTGCACCTACCTCCCGATCTCATTTCTCTTTATCAACACATGAGCAGCTGGGCCGGCAGTGGCCCCTGAGTTCAGAGAAAGCGGCAGCTGACCAGCCCCACCCCCCCAGAACTCATGGGGTTCCTGGCTACTAGAAAGCTTCCAGGCTGCCACCAAAAGAGCTCCCTGCCAGCCAGGCTACTTCCCCCAGCCACTGTGCTTGGAAGGGGATGGCTTCCTCTCCTAGTCCTTGAGGTCACTGGTGGATAGAGCTTGTCAGCAACAAACTCATGACTAAGATAGCTGAGAGCAGGGCACCAATGAGCACCCAAGAGGTCAGGGAGACAAGGGAAAAGGCCAACATTCAGGGTGCTGCTCAGAGAGTCCGGCTGGGATGAGGTACCCTTCAATCACTTGATGTCATTGCTGAAAGGACCCTTCAAGGATGTCTGTTTTTGGGTTTTGTTTTTTTTTAAGATTTTATTTATTTATTTGACAGAGAGAGGCTCAGTGAGAGAGGGAACACAAGCAGAGAGAGAGAGAGAGAGAGAGGGAGAAGCAGGCTTCCCACTGAGCAGGGAGCCTGATGCAGGACTCCTCCCAGGACACTGAGATCATGACCTGAGCCAAAGGCAGTTGCTAAACGACTGAGCCACCCAGGCCCCAAGGATGTCTATTTATTTAACAAATCCTTATAGAACACTTGCTATGTGTTATATACACAGTTTTTTTTAGAGAATTTTTAAAACTTTAATAGACATACACACAGTTTAAAAATGCTTTACAGATAGTAACTCAATCTGTCCTCTTAACCAACCCATCACTAGTAGCTCCATGTTGCTGGAGAGAAAGCAGAGGCACAGAGAGGCCAAGTGACCTGGCATAGACCCCATTGCTCCTAAGTGGCAGAGTTGAGATCGGATCGGAGACTTTACTTTTAATCACTATGCTCTGCTCATTTTCCAAATGTGGAAGGGGATATCGGGGAGGGAGGACCAAACACTGGGTCAAGGACAGAGCCATCCGTGGAACGTAGGCCTCTTTCTGTCTATGTTCTTCCAGTCTTCATTCACGCATTCAACGAATGTATTAGAACCTCCTCTATGCTGTATCCCACGATGCTGGGAACCCGGGAATTAATACGTCAGGGACCTTGACCTCAAAGACATCACAGACAGGGGTGTCATGGTTTTGCTGAAGACCCTGGCCAAGACCTACATCCAGTGGACTGGTCTTGCCCTCTCAGGATCAAGTCCTAAAAGAGCAGAGGTCTGAGAGTTCAGTTGCCTGCTGACCGTTCTTTAAAGTTTCTCATGCTCTGTTTCTCTTCTGCAATGTGGGGGTAGAAATTGAACCCAAGTGCAGGATATCCACAGGATTCCTGAAATAATGGTTGTATGTTCTCCGGGTGTGTTCTGTGCCCTTGATGGTGATGGGATGTTGATTGACAGCAGGGGTGATGATCATGTTGCCAGAGGTGGGAGCGAGGGGTCACGATGTGATGGTGACATGTGGGTGTTTATGGTGGGGGTAATGGTCATAAGGGAGGGGCTGGTAATGGTGGTTGTGGTGGAGACAGTGACCACCACCGTGGGCAATGATGGTGGTGATATTGGTGGTGGTGGTGGTGTAAGGCACTAATAGTGATGGCCTTGGTGTTTGTGATAATAGAGATGAGGAGGGTGGTGCCTTGGCTAGGGCAGTGGGGACACCATTATTCTGATAGTGATGGTCACGATGGTGATGGTCTAATGGTGAAGCTGCTGGTGACGGCGGGAGTGGTGAGGTTGATGGTGGTACTGGTGGTTGTGTTGATACCAGGATAATGCTAACGAGGGTAGTGGTGACAGGACTGGTGGCAGTGATGGGGGTGGTTTTGGCGATGATGCTCGGTGGCACTGGGATGGTGGTGGTGGTGATGCCAGCGATGGTGTCAATGATGGTGACCCTAGCACTGAGGATGACGGTGATGACCTAATGGTGGTGATGGTGACACATTCATGCCAGATGTCCTCAGTCCTGATCCTATTACCTGCTGGATCAACCCACAGATCTCTCAGTGTGACCCCACTGTCTCGCCTTGCCCTTATGGCCGATGGGGGGTTATCTAGATCTCATACTCGATACCTCTCATCCCGTTCCTGTGCTCTCACTGCAGACAATCATGCCCAGCTCTCCCGGGCATCCCTAAGGATCCGAATCCTGGATGTGAACGACAATCCCCCAGAGCTGGCCACTCCCTATGAGGCAGCCGTGTGTGAGGACGCCAAGCCAGGACAGGTACCTGGAGGGGCTGGGCAGTGGAGGTTCTTGGGACTGGCTGGGACACTCTCTCCCCAGGTCCAGAGTGGGCTTGACCTCCCATCAGCTCCTTGCCCCATCCTCCCCCTTCAGCTTATCCAGACCATCAGCGTGGTGGACAGAGACGAGCCTCAGGGTGGGCACCGCTTCTATTTCCGCCTGGTGCCCGAAGCTCCCAGCAACCCTCACTTCTCCCTGCTTGACATCCAAGGTGAGTTACCTCTGAACCGCCAAATCCTTGGATGCAGAGGGAGGGGCCTAGCCTCCTCTCCCCTTCCCGTAGTACCGGTGGAGAAACTGAGGTACCTGGAGGGCCAGTGTTGCATCCAAGATCACACAGAAAATCTGGGTCAAGCTAGAGCTGTTCCCCAGCCCACTGGCCAAACCCCAGAGAACAAGCTGGGGGCGGCTGGCGGAGTGGAGAGGGGGCACCCCAAGAGAAGAGAATGGAAAGATACAGAGAGGGAACAGATGAGGAGTGGGTGGGCCAGAGTCCTGGGTGGAAAGAGCCCCCGGTCTAACTGAAGATCGAAATAAGTCACGTGCACGCACTCCCACCCTGCAGTTTAAAAAGTGCTGTGTCCCACTCATGTTTCTCTTTGCGTCCTCACGGCCGCACTCGGAGGTGGTTTTCTTACCCTCCCCTATTTTACCCGCAATGAAAAGGAGATTCTAGGGGGAAAGGGACCCACCCAGGGCCATACAGGGAGTCAGTAGCAGGCTGGGGTTCCAGTCCACCTGTTTCTCCGATCCAGCATGCCTCCTGCTTTCCCTAGCTTACCACCTTGAAGGTGACTGCCATGCCCAGCCTGAGCTGATGCCACAGGGAGATGTGCTCTAGCAAGTTCCTCCAGAAGCCAAAGTCTGGGCCTTTGAGGCCTGAACTGGGGTGTGTGTGTGTGTGTGAGGGTGGGTGGTCAGCAGACTGGGAGTCAGGGCCCTGGGTCCCAGGCCAGGCTCAGCTGGGGGGCTCTCTGTGCAACCCCCGCAAGGTCAGCGCCTCCTAAGCCTCCGTTTTGTCATCCGTAATATGGGTTAAAAGGGCCTGCTCCCTGAGCTGGCGAGGTGGCCCCAGCACCTAGGTATATTGTTTGTACATGGAACACGTCATTTCCTGCATTCAGCAATTATTTGCTGAAACACAGTGCCTGAGGCATTGTTCTAGGTCCTGAAATGCAGTGGCAAACAAGACAAAATCCCTGCCCTCATGGAAGCAACGTTCTGGTGAGGGGAGGTAGAAATTAAATAAATGAATCATATGTTGAGGTTGCTAAGTGGCTGGAGAGTAGGTAGATAAGGCAGTCTCAACAAGAGTCTAGACCTGGTTTTGTTCAGCGCTGGGCCCCGAGCGCCTAGAGCAGTGCCTGATACATGGTGGGAGTTCCATGAACTGTGTCAAACAAAACAGAGGAAAACAAAGCAGAGTAAGAGTAGGAGCTATTTTAAATAAGGGAGCCTTGGAAGCCCTCTCTGAAGGGATAGTGAATATGAATCTAAAGGAAATTAGAGAGTGAGTCTTGCTGATAACTGGACCGAGAATGACCCAGGTGGTGGAAACAGCATGTGCAAAGGCCCTGTGGTGGGCACAGGCTCAGGATGTTCAAGGAACAGGAGGCCTGCATGGTTGGAATGAGTGGATGCCAGGACTAGGAGATCAGGTTATGTTGGTTCTTTCTGACCCTGGAACAGGTCTGGGATCACCCCCAAGACCCTTACAACCCTTCCCTCCAAAAGGAGGGACCTCAGGGGCCTCTGAAGCCAGACCCTCTGTATTTCCAAGAGTCCTATTAAAAATATTTCACAACCAGTGCAGTTCAGATAACCAACTGAAAGGGACACTGACCATAAATAACCTGGAGCAGGACCCTGGAGCCCCTGCTGTGCCAGGCTTTACCCCCTTAGTGGCTTGATTGTGTCAGAGTTAGGGGTAGGCACGGGGAGAAGGCTGAGGCAGCAGAGAGGGACTTGGGGCACACAGAGTCAGAGCTATTTAAACCTTTTTGGAAGCATTTCAATATTTTAACTACTGGTAGTGCCTTGCCCACGCATTTTTCCAACAGTATCCTGACTTGGCCCCAGGAGATACAAATAGCCTTGGCTTGACCTCGCCAAGTTCACAAGTCTTTCCAACCCGAGGGGCCTGGAGTTCTGTCCCAACTGCCTCTCTTTGACGGGGAGCTGCCAGGTGCTCCCATCGCTCGTGACTGCCTGGAAGGAGCTCCAGGAGCGAGGGCGGCAGCCGTGTGCTGAGCTCAGCACGGCTGTGGAAGGGCTCCTCCACCAGCCCCCTAGCCCCTTCCCACGGCCTGCCAAGCCCCCTCCTCCTCACCATATAAATATCCTGGGTGACAAACAGCCACCCCAACCCATCTGTTTCTTTGTACACATTTGTAGCCAGTTTGGAAACGTGATTTATAAATATTGCTTTTGCAGCCAGGGATTGACACTGATGTATGTCAGTCCAGATGGATGGATCCAGTGCTGGGCGCAGATGCTGGGCGCAGATCCTGCCTGGGAGGGTGGGGTTAGGGCCCCGGGTGACCAGCGGCTTCCCCAGGTGAAGGCAGCTGTCGCCCGGGAGGGTAGTTCAGGAGGTTCAGAGATGATGCCCAGGGATTCCCTTTCGTCGGGTGGAGGAGAGGCAGGGACCTGAGCTCTCAGAACATATGGCTCCATGACCAACGACAGCAACCCTGAGAAGCAAACATCTCCTCTCCATCCCTCTGTTCTTGCTTGGGAATTTGAAGCTGAGCCAGAGCCAGCCACTCGTTTTTCAAATCTGTCTACTTCTCTGTGCCTCTACTACCACTATCCTCTCCCATCTAAAACACACAATATCTTCCCAACTCATCTTCCACATCCACTCTTGTATTTTAGATTAGAAGCGCCCTTGTCTAGAATGGAGACTCAGCAAGGGCAGGGACCGTGTCTGTCTTGTTCATTGCTCTAGCCTCAGGGGCTGGGATAATGCTGACATCCAGAGGGTGTGAATGGGTGACATGTCACTTGGTCTCTTCTTTGCTGAAAATCCCCCAATCAATGGCCTCCCACTGCTTTTAAGAAAATAACCCCAATTCCTTACTCTGGCCTCTAAGACTTTCCATGATGACTCCTGCCCCACCCTGCCCCCAGTTTGACCTTGACTCCCTCTAGCCGTTACCTTCATCTGTCCAGTCACAAAGCACTGCTTTAGTTCCTTGAGTATATGATGCTTCTTCCAACCTCAAGGCCTTTGCATCAGCTGTCCCCTCTCCTTGAACTCGTCATTCAGGACTCAGCAATAATACCACTTCCTCCAGGAAGATCTCCCTGGCCTCCCAGACTGAGTCAGGTCCTCTGTTAGGTGCTCTTCCTGTACTTTTCCTTCTTAGCACTCACCATGGTTTGTAATTGTAGACTAAATTGTGGATTTATTCAATGAACATTTGTCTCTCACATTAGAATATAAGCTCGGATCCAGGGCTATCATTGACTTAGCTCTCCACTGTTTTCTCCCTGCAACTAGCATGGTGCCTAGAACATAGTAGTTACTCAATAAAGATTTATTGGATGGGCTGGGTGGAGGATGGATGGGTGGATGGAGGATGGATGGGTGGATGGATAAGGGATGGACAGATGGATGATTTGATGGGTGGATGAGAAAAATAACTATGTCACCATTTCACTGGATAAACACAGACTAGTCACTTCTCTCTGAACCTCAATCTCTATGTGTATAAAATAGAAATAATGTCACAACAATTGGTGGTTGGGACAATTAAACATTACTGTATATTTAAAGCATCCACACGGTCCTTGATGTATGGAAAGCATGCAGTGAGTGCAGAGGAGTCCCACATCATTCCCTTTCCTCCGTCTTGCCTTTGAGTCTCCTTTCCTCCCCTCGGGAGGGCAGATATCTTCACAGCCAGGGTTGATTTACCCTTTGACAGGCAGGCTGGAGTGGAAGCCAGAGCTGGAGCAGCTTACCCAGGACCACCAGTTACCCCAATAGTTGCGGTTCATTCAAGTGTCATTCTTTAGGTCTGGCTCAGTGCCAGGGCAGAGACGGGCACACGCTCACCTAATGCAATGTGACAAGTGCTCCCGCAGAAGTGTGCGGGGCACCCGCCTAGTCAGGGCAGGGAGGGGGACACCATAAATCTCTCCTTCCCAGGGAAGCACAGAAAGGAGGTGACATTTAGCTGGAGCATGACAGATGAGGAATATGCCCAGGTGGGAAGGCAGGGAGGGTGTTCCCGCTAGTGGGAACGTGGTGAGTAGGGGCAGGGCAGCCGGCACGGAGAACAGGCCCACGGCGCAGCGCAGGGAGCCTGGGGGTGGAATGATCAGCCAGCATCTATGGAGAATTTCCAGGGCCTGGGACCGATTCGAAGTGTTAGGCATGAATTTCACCATGGAATCCTCACACCGATGTGCTACTTTTCCCTCAGTTACAGATGAGAAAACTGCGGTCCAGAGAAGCTAAGTGAGCTCCCAAGCTCGTAAAGGATTGACTCAGCATAATTTTTTTTTTTTTAGCATTTTAATGGAGACTTTCAAAAGTGCGTAAAAGTAGATAGAATAACATCATAAACCACATGATACCATTACATGAGCTTCAACCCATGACCAGTCTTGTTTGAGCTCGACCTCTAGTTCGCCTGGTCAGCTCTTTCCTCCTGCATTGTGTCCACGATTAGGGGAGACCAGGCACTGACTTGGGTTGACGGGGGCCACAGAGCCGGGGAAGGGACCCAGACTGCCGAAGTCTGAGGTCAGAGAGATTAGCCAGAAGGCTGTGAGTGCAGGAGCGGAACCCAGGAGGGAAGCCTTGTGCAGAGCTGGCTGTGAAGGGTGGGGGCAGCAGCCAGCCCGGCTCTGAGTCCAAGCCTCCACACTGTCAGCCATCAACATGACGGAGGCTCACGGATGGCCTGACCCATACAGGAGAGGTTGGGAGAGTGAGGAACGGCAGGGTAGGTGGGCACCCCCTATCGCGGAAGCCCATGCTCTGAGAACAGAGAGCCACCTGAGTCCTGCCTGGCATTCCCAGCAACTGGCTAAAGTGGTGTAGTGAGTCTGACTTGTGTTAGTTCACTGTCTTCTCTGCTTGCACATGTAGAAAGGAGACCTTGGTGCTCTCGGGTCCCCCATCAGCCCCCAGGAGCCATGCCCCAGCCCTCCAGGCTTGGCCTCTTACACTCCCGACAGAAAGCCCCCCTCAGCCAAAGACAGGTGCCAGAGAAGACACTCCCAGTCTTCTCTGTCACCCAGGACTTGTCAGGGCCCAGGAAGCCACAACCCAAGGACCCTGGGACCCTGGGGTCAGGGTGCATTGGGTAGCTGAGGTGGAACAAAAGAAGGAATGAGGAAAATGAGGAAAAATATTAACATAGCTGGGGACAGGACCTTGGCCCAGCTGGGGACAGAATCTTGGAAAAGCTGGGGACAGGACCTTAGCACAGCTGGGGACAAAACCTTGGAATAGCTGAAAACAGAATCTTGAGGCAGCTGGGAATAGCATCTTGTGACAGACAGCTAAGGACAGAACTGTGGGCTCCAGGGCTGGGAACAAGATCCTCAGGCAGCTGGGGGCAGAAGCTGCGGAGATGGGCGAGTAGAGTCCTGGGAGGCAGGAGCTTGGGGCAGAGGGAGGCAAATTGCAAGGTGGCCTCAGGAGGTGGCCGGGGTAGGGGAGACTGGCCCAGGCCCCTCCACGTCACATGCCACCCCCTCTTTCCGGAGCAGACAACACGGCTGCGGTGCACACTCAGCACTTGGGCTTCAACCGGCAGGAGCAGGACGTGTTCTTCCTGCCCATCCTGGTGGTGGACAGCGGGCCGCCCACGCTGAGCAGCACAGGCACGCTCACCATCCGCATCTGCGGCTGTGACAGCTCTGGTGCCATCCAGTCCTGCAACACCACGGCCTTCGTCATGGCCGCCACCCTCAGCCCCGGCGCCCTCATCGCCCTCCTGGTCTGTGTCCTCATCCTCGTCGGTGAGTCCCCCCCGGAGCCATCCCCCTGCCCCGTGGCCTTCCCCCTGGGGCCCTGGTAAAGCCCATGGGGCCTCAGCTTCCCTCTTCCACCAGGAAGGTTGGCCCAAATGATGCCCGAGCTTTACGGAGTTGGTCCCAGGACAAGTCTCCTAAGGACAGAGCAGCCCCACTGCCAGCTCAGGGAGCGTCAACCCCACTTGAGACCCCTTGCGTGCTGGCGGCCCTCCACACAGCCCAGACACTCCCTAAGGTTTTAAAAACAAGCATATTATAAGAAAATTCTCTCATGTCCACTGTTCTGTTTTATGCTCTATGGAGGACTTTTAATAAAGTCCTTTTAGTAAAAAAGGGGTCTTGTGACCCTCACAACCCGTAGCCAGGTGTATCATCCCCATTTTTTAGAGGACCAAAGTGAGGCTCGTGGGGGTGAAGTGGCTTGCCTAAGGGTACGTAGTCTTACAGCTTGAAATCAGGCCTCCGCCCCTTGTGTTCCCTTTAACTACACCAACTGTTATGATTCTCAGCTGGGAAAAACCCTGGGGGCAGCCGGGGCAAAATCTTAAGACATTTGGGGATTTAACACCTACTCTGGTAGCTACCCCATCAGAAGCCAGGTCGAACCCACAAAGTGTCACCAGTGAAGAGGTCAAGTTCTAGGAACTGGATTCCAGTGGCCATTGTGCCACCTCCCCCTGTCACAGCAGAAAGGCCTCAACTCAGCTCTGGCTGCTGGACTTTAGCGATCAGTCAGAGCTCGGGGAATCCAAGCATGGTCCAGATTGCAGAGAACAGTTCTGCTCCGTTCCCTGGGCAACGTCAGCTGCCTGCCCCTGGCGTGCTGGCCACTGCCCACCCCACCGAGAACCTGCCAGTGGCCAAGCTGCACCTCCCCGGGTCCCTGTAGAGGCCCTGGGCAGGCTTCTCCTAGCTGTGAGTTCTGGCCCCCCCTTCCCTCCCCTCCCCAGCCCATGGCTCAGAAACTCTTTTTCCAGAGGGTGCACTTTACAGCGGTTTCATTTTCCAAGGCAGTGCAAACAAATTTCTGCCTAATTGCCCACAAACGAAGAAAGTGCACATCAGTGCTCTAAAGGTGACGGGCGGAATCGCTGATCAGGCCGGGCACATCTGTTGCCCGCCGCCCGCACTCCCCACCATCTGCTCTCTCGGGCATCCCCCTCCGCAGCTCCCAGCTTCGGCTCCGGAAGCTGTCCATCCATCTTTCCCACTTCTCTCCTGACACCTCCCCTCCCTCCAGACCTGTTCCCGGGCCCCACCCCCTTCCCTGTCATGTGCCACCTTGTTAGGTCGTGGGTTGGAACCGGGCCCCTTGGCCCTAGCAGCTGGCTCTGGTCGCTGGCCCGGTGGGAGATGTTAGGAGCAACAAGAAGAACCCAGGGCCTGGCATGGTACCCAGCACGTGTCTCTCCATCCATCCCCTCACCTACCCATTTAATTCTTTCAATGGTTCATCAGCGCCTTATTTATCCGTCCAGCGAGTTCCCCGCAGCCCTCTTACTGAACCATTGTGGGCACTGGGATCCACCCGCGAACAAAAATCCCCACAAAACCCTGAGTAACTGGAAAGGTAGGGTTGCCATCACGGAGATGGGGGAGACAGAGTAGAGAAGGGGGAGGATTATTTCAAGTTTGGACGTGTTCAATGTGGGATTCTCTTGGTCGGCCCGGAGGACTTGCTGAGGAGGAAACCGGACGGATGATCTAGATTTCAGGAGAGAAGTCAGTCTGAGAGGAGGCTGAGACGTGGGCATGGTCAGCCCCCAAGTGGACTGCCCAATAGCACCCGCAGAGCAGTGTGGATGTAGGGCCCCGGACTGAATCCAAGGATGGTTGATGTTAAGGGGTCAGACAGGCGAGGAAAAGCCGCTTGGAAGGCCGGAGAATGAGGGTTAGCGAGGCGGGAGGAGGAGAGAATGTGGAGTCCCGGAAGTCAAGTGCAGAAAGCAAAGAAAGAGCAACGTTCTCTTCTTCATCCTTATACTCACCACGTCTCCATCCACTTCTTCAGTCAGTCATTCACTCAGCAAGAACGCTTCAAAGGCTTAACTGCCTACCGGGCACCGACCTAGGGGAACACTCCCCAGGCCCCAAGGGGGAGTTTAGAGTGTGTGTTTCGGGGTGGGAGAAGCTGTGGTTCGCAAACCTGAGCTGCCTGGGCATCTCTTGGAGGCTTCTTCAAGACAGACCGCCAGGAGATCTAGGACAGGATCTGAGAAGCCACATTTCTAGCAAGTTCCCAGGAGATGCTGCTGGTGATGGTCCAGCAAGTGCACTCTGAGAACCCGTGGGACAGAGAGAAGAACTCCTCACCAGGGGAACTTGGAGGTGAAGGCACTGAACCTGGCCTAGAGCTCGCGGGAGCGGGGGCTTCTGCAGGGGTCATGTTGACCTGAGGCCCAAACAGCCAAGCAGATGCTCAGGACTTCTGGAATAGTCAGAGGAGAGCGAGAATAAAAGAGGAGTCAGGTCCAAGACATCTCTCATTCCCCCAGCCCCATCTGCCCCTAAAAGCTGCCCTCTTTGCACTCCCTGGGGTCTAGAGACCTCTCAGGTTGTATCTCTTCATAGAGTTGAGGATGGAAACATCAGAGGTTGGCTCCAGCCCCCAGCACCCATGAAATCTCTCTCTTTTTTTTAAAGATTTTATTTATTTATTTGACAAACAGAGATCACAAGTAGGCAGAGAGAGAGGAGGAAGCAGTCTCCCCGCTGAGCAGAGAGCCCGATGTGGGCCTCGACCACAGGACCCTGGAATCGTGACCTGAGCTGAAGGCAGAGGCTTTAACCCACTGAGCCACCCAGGCGCCCACCCATGAAATCTCTTAACACTGCCATCTGTGCTGCGGGCGCAGCACGGTGGTCTAGCCTCGATTTGCACACCTCCCAACATGGGAAGCTCACTATCTACCCATAGAGCCAGTGCAGTTCTGACTGTAGGAAACGTCTTTTTGCACAGAAATCTAGGAAATTTGCACCAGCGGTTAGGCTGGGCCAGCATCGCTGTGTGAAGGGTGAGGTGGGGGTGGGGGTCCCCAAAATGTCCTGGGCAGGCCTCGGCCCTCACTCGCCCCTTCTGTCTTCCCCGCAGTGCTGGTACTGCTGATCCTCACCCTCAGACGCCACCACAAGAGCCACCTGAGCTCGGACGAGGACGAGGACATGCGGGACAACGTCATCAAATACAACGACGAGGGTGGCGGCGAGCAGGACACGGAGGCCTACGATATGTCGGCGCTGCGGAGCCTCTACGACTTCGGCGGCGAGCTCAAGAGCGGCGACGGGGTCGGCGGTGGCGGGGGCCCGGGCGGGAGCGGGGGCGCTGGCAGCCCCCCGCAGGCCCGACTGCCCTCGGAGCGCCACTCGCTCCCGCAGGGGCCACCGAGCCCCGAGCCGGACTTCTCGGTGTTCAGGGACTTCATCAGCCGCAAGGTGGCGCTGGCGGACGGGGACCTGTCGGTGCCGCCCTACGACGCCTTCCAGACCTACGCCTTCGAGGGCGCGGACTCGCCGGCCGCCTCGCTCAGCTCGCTGCACAGCGGCTCGTCGGGCTCCGAGCAGGACTTCGCCTATCTCAGCGGCTGGGGCCCGCGCTTCCGGCCCCTGGCCGCGCTCTACGCCGGCCACCGCGCGGACGACGAGGCCCAAGCCTCCTAGCCCCCCACCGGCCCTGGGCCCTGCCGTCGGGGTGTGCCTCCCGGCCCACCCAGGGCCCGACGGGGCCCCAGGATGAAGCATTTCCCGGGTTCACCCCCTTCCCCAGCCCTCACACCCTCCCAGGGCAGCCAGACAGGAGGGGAGACTCGTCAGGGGATGGACCCCCGGATCCCCCGCCATGCCCCGCCCAGGGAGGTGGTGCAGCTTTTGCCCAGACGTGCAGGAATTACCAGCAACATCATTAAAAAGTGCAGCGAGACCGGGCACTGCGTGGCTGTCGAGATAAGAGGGGGAGTTGGCGCCGCGTTGCTGTGTGGAGAAGGGGTGGGTTACTCACTCCTGACTGGGGGAAGAACCCTGAAGGGAGGGTGCTGCTGAGGTGACCCCCCCTCCCAGGTCTCCCCTTCAGAGTTAAGAGAGAAGGAAGGCTGTTCATTTACTAAGCGCCTACTGTGTGCTGGGGCACTCTAGAGAGACCATCTTAGTCGTCACAGGAACCATGAGGTGGGGCCCAGCAGGTAACAGATGGAGAAGGCCACCCGGAGAAGTGGCTCTGGCCTGAGGACACCTAGCCAGAAGGTTGGAGCCTCTGGCACTGACTTCCCGGCTGCCTGGCCTTGGGCAAGTCACCTCACTTCTCTGGGCCTCAGTTCCCTCATGTGTCTCATGAGGCTCATAACAGAACCTACCTCGAAGAGTTGTGAGGATAAAAAGTGGTCATATGTGTCACGTGGTTAGGACAGTGCCTGGCACATAGTAGGTGTTCAATAAATGTTAGCCTTTGATACTGTTGTTATCTTTGTCATTATTAGAAGTCCACTGGCAGGGCTGTCCCCCTTCTCCCAACATCTCCAACGGTGAAGGAAATGGCCCCAACTCTCTCCTCTGCCCAGAGTAGAGGATAGGGATATTCCCAGTGACTATGGACCCTTCTGGAGTCTCAGGGGGGGATGAGAGAGGACCACTCAGTGGAGGTGCCAAGAGAGGACAAGCTGGGCAGCTCTGGGACTGGGGTGAGGTGGGAGGGTTGGCAGGAGATGGAGGGGCTGGAAGCCAATAGCCATGATAGGAATGTTATCTGTTTGGTCCGGGAGCCTATCAGTCTCCCTATCCATGCCCCGCCCCCTCCAGGTTAAGAACTTCAGGGCTAAGCTATCTTTAAAAGCCTCCAGCTCTAAAACCCCTTGATGACAAGGTAAAGGATAGCTGTCCTCCCAGCCCAACCCCCACCCCCAAGTGAGTCATTCATTCGGCATTGATCAGCCATGAATTCCAGCTCCTGCTAGCTAGGCAGCCTTCATCAAGGTCCTCAACTGCTGAAGCCTCAGTTTACTCATCTGTATAATGGAGCTAATGATAGTCCTTCCCTTAAAGGGTTGTTAAGAGGCTTAAAGGAGTTAATGCCTATTAAGCTCTGATCCCAGTGCCTTCCTGATGCATTGAAAATGCTCAATGGATGCTCATTCACCTTTTCTTCTCTTTTCTTTTTTTAATCTCCCAGGAACCATTCATTGATTTCTCCACATCTGCCAAGGTCCACTGGGACAGATCCAGAGATGGTCATTATGTATTATGAGTGCCTTCCCTGTATAATTTCATGTAAATTAGATACTGTCAGCCTCACTTCACAGGTGAGGAAACTGAGGCCCAGAAGGTAGTGACTCACCCAAGTTTACACAGGTCATAAGTACTTCCTGCCTTCCAGCAATTCAAGGTCCCAGTGGGCCAGGTGTGGTGGGCAGAAGCAGCCAATAATAATGCCCTTGATAAAACTCATAGCAGAACTAACAGAACAAAGTCCTGAAAACACTGAAGAAAGATTGAATAATTTGTGGAGAGCTTCCCAGAGGAGGTGACTCCAACTGCATCTTGAAGAATATGATGTATGAGATGACCAAGCAGGCACGAGCATTCCAAGCAGAGAGAAAAGCATCTGAAAGTGGGGTGGGGGTCGGGGGGAGGAGAGGCCAGAAGCATGTGGTGGCTTCAGGGACTGTGTGTGGTCCCAGGGGCTGGATCACTGGGTGGAGTGATGGCGAGATGTGAGGCAGGGAAGGGGGGCTGGAGGCAGGTGGAGAAAGCACTTAAAGGCCAGGCCAAGGAACTGGATGCTTTGCTGTACTTGAGCATGTCTGGACGGCAGGTATATGGGCCGAGCAAGGTAGTCCCAAATAGGGTGACACTGGGACCCTCACTCCATGTGGGACGCTTGGTCCATGTTCCTGTATCGATCTCTTCTACCAGTGGGCATGGTAACCTGGGGACCCCTGGGGACACATGCGATCCCCTCTCTCATCGCATGTGCTCAGCTGTCCCATACAGAATCCCAGCAACATTTCTCAGATTGGTTTTTGCTCTCTCCATTGTAGAGGGGAAGCTGAGATCCAGAGGAGTGAAGTGACTGGCTCAAGGTCACCCAGCTAGTCTAGGACAGAGCTGGGACTACACGGGATCCCTAATTCCAAGTCTCCGTTCTCTCCACGTGTGCCGGTTGCCTTGACAGATTCTGACCCTGCCAAGAAAGAGGTTACGGTCAGGTTATGTGTCCAGAGGGACGTACAAACATGGAGTCACAGGTATCCTTGAGCGTCTTCCAAATCCCACACGTGGGGAATGACCTTCCCACGGTCACACAGAGTTAAAGATCCTGCCAGAAATAAAGAACATCATTCATCCAAATTCACCTTCTGAGCCCCTGGCTCTATTCCATTTACTAGCTGTGTGACTTTGGACATGTTATTGTCCCTCTCTGTGCTTCTGTATTCTCATCCATAAAGTGCACATACTCAGAACACCTGCTCCATAGGGTAGTAGTGAGGATAAAATGCAGGGATGACTGCTGATACCTGCTACTTACTGAGCATCTCCCACGCACCAGACACAACGCCAAGCATGTCACATGAACTAACTCACCTAATCCCACAACCACCCAATAAGAAGCCCTCCTTTTATGGGTGATGAACTGAGCACAAAAAGGTTGAGTCCCCTGCCTGAGATCAAATAGCTGGTGAAGACAGGGGCCAGGAGTTCATAGAAGTGCTCTGGCCCTCAGCACCTCCCACATCAGCAGCACACACAGTGCTGGGCACACAGGAAGGACTGGACTCGTGGCCTGGGCTGGTGTGGCCATCTGATGTGGCCCGGGAGAGTCTATGTTCCACTCACTGCTGTGTCCTCCGGCCTGTGGGAGTCCTCAAGCCTTCCCACGATTTCTTCTCATTCTAAAGTGGGGCGTAGAGGGTAAGGCAATGCTCTCAGTCCCCTCTGCTTCCGACTCCTGGGTCCCCAATGGGCCCTGAGCCAGCCCAAGAGTGAAATCCAGTGAGTCTGGCCCCTGTACTGGGCGTCACAAGGTGTCCATGGATGCCCAGAATGGCAAGCGGTTTGTGAGAGACTGTTCTGACGGTCAGGGTCACAGAGAAGGGTCTTGTTGTGGAGTATGCAGCCTCTGGCCATCTGCCTCGTGCGTTCCCATCAAATTCCCCCAGGAGCTCCAAATCCTCTCCCAGTGCGGATCGGAGAGCATGGCCACCCTAGACTCCCCCAGCTCCAGGCCATAATTGGCCACACCCAACTCTACCAAGGAGCTCAGAAAGCAATGAGCCTTTCACTTACCATGCTTGACCTCTTTTCACGGCATCGGGAAAATGAAAAGAATTCCCCTTTACTGTCATTGTCTCCATCACCGTCATCGTCATGGAATAAAGGAGGATTCAGGGTCACGAGCAAGAATTGGCGTATAATTGGCCAGCAGTTTTAGAGCCAGGGGTATTAATGACAGCAATGACGATGGTAACGGTGATGACGGTGACAGCCCACTTAGCTAGCCCTTGCCACATGCCAGGCACTGTTCTAAGCCCTGCGTGTAATTATCACTGGCACAGGTAAAATCCATGGAGGTAGACTCTGTGTTTACTGTGTCTATCCCTTTACAGAAGTTGCGTTGTTTCATTTTAAGCTGTTACATATTTGGTCCTATTTTACGGAAGAGGGATCCAGGGCTCACAGATGAGAAGAGGCTAGCTCCAGGGCACAGAGATCGTGAGGGCGGGTCATTGCACACACACCGCCCCACGAGTCCGCACAGGACCAGGACGACTCAGATTCTGAGCAGAGTTTCGGGGCGGAGGGGGTATGGGGAGGCACTGCAGACAGATGGCTGAGCTGGGGAGCAAGGTGGCTACAGGGCTGAGGCGGCCGATCCAGCCCAGGTCTGCATCTCCGGTGTGTACTGAGGGGCGTGTGTCTGCATGTGGCTGTGGGCACACACGGGGGAAGTGGGAAGCCAGCGCCAAGCACACGGGTCAAGAACTCACCTCCCACCTCCCGATTCAGGCAGCCGAGAGAGCCAGCTGCTGTCACAGGGGGCGGCTCAGTGCCCGCATCCGTCAGCCAGCCGTCATCGCTGCCCACCCCCGGGTCACGAATCAGCAGTTCCACTTACCTCCTGCCAGCAAGCGCTCTCGGGCCAGCTCTGTCGCTGGCCGCTGAGCCTTTGGAAAATGTAACCCTGTCAGCCCTCACTCTGAGGGAAGAGGGTTTACGCTTCAGTGCGTGCACATGGGAGCACGCGTGCGGCCACGTGCTCACGCCAGCATGGGATGCCTGAACGTGCGGACCCTCGGACGTGCTCCCACAGGGGTGCACCGTGCAGACCCAGGCATGCTCACAGCCATGTGCACAGGGCATAGTGACCGCTCTGCAAATGTGGTCACATGCCCGCACCCTCCAAGTGTACTGGAGGTGAGCTCTCACGTGTGCACTCACATGTGTACATGCAACATGCACATACCTTCCATAGGTGTGTTTGCTTACACGCATGTGTGCATGTGTCCACTGATGCACTTCCATTTCCCCGTGTAAGCGTGCACTCACTCACATTCGTAACACACCCCTGCAGTTACCCAGCGTGTATAGGTCTCCCCTCAGGTGTGCTTCTGCCCATGATCCCCTAGCCCCACGCACACATTCATGCTGCCGTTTGCACAGTTGCCGGCTTGCATGGGAAAG